GTTGAGACCATCTTTTGTCCTTTTCAGACTGAAAGTAAACTAATTCTGGGGACCTGAGTGTTGTCAAAGAGGTCAGTTAAGCCTCTGTTTCAATTGGAAACTTCAAGAATGCATTGGTCTGCCTGAGCTTTGTTCTCGAAACTGTCTTAAAAGTAAACTCATCTTGAAGTTTAAATGATAATTCACCCAATCTGCAATGTTATTAATATTATTATGAACCAACATAACTTGGATCTTCCGGTGAAATGACAGACTTTTCTCTGGTGACGTATGCCAGACTTTTCCAGTCATTTAGTCTGCTTAAACTCTGCCCCTTTCTTACAATCCTCAATCTAATCAACAACTGATGGGGGAGAATCAAGTCCAACCCTAATTTTTTCATTCTTTTTCAGTAATTCGTTTTATTGAGATGTACATCAAAACACATTAGAAAATACTTGCCACTACTACTGTTATCATCATTTTTTGCGTCGACCAATCAACTCGTTCTCATAAAATTGCGGTATCGTAAGAATTAGTTAGGTGGTTGTACAAAAACTTTTAGCAAGAATAGGACTAAAAATATGGGATGTATAGGGGGAGGATCTCTAAGCAAGAAAGGCTTAGGGTCACATGGGGTCAGCAGATGTGTGCATGTACACCCCATCTAGCCTTACTCCCCCAAATATAGACTTGTTTGGTTTGGCTCCGAATTGCTCATAATTGGGAAATCCTTCTGCCTTATACAAAGAAGGCTTGACACTGGCCTAAACTCCTCCTGTTTGCAGATCATTCTGCCTCAACAATGTGCCTAACTTGAATGTGTGCACTCTTGACAGGAACATGAACACTTGATGAGCTTGCGAGAGAAAGAGGGCAAGTAAAGGCAATGCTAAAATACTTTCCCTCTTCTGGTCCCTCGGATTGGAAGGATGTTTTGGTGTTCAACTCATTATGTCCCATTAAATCCTAAATGTGCTTCTGAGTCTCAACAAAAGCCTAGTGTGAGTCGTTTTCAGACCTGAGACGCCCTGAAGATTAGTGTTGACTTATCAGGGCCTGGTTTGTTGACCCCGTCTGCTCTGTAGTTGGTTAATACAATGCAACTTTCATGTTTGTTACGAAAGTATACAGACAATAACTTATTTTATTTAAACATATATTGAATTAAAACACTTAAGATAAATCGTCACTATTTAGCCTATGTGGTAGTATCTATTTGATTTATACTATTGGCACTGTGCATGGTAGTAATGGGGGCGCTTCACAGATCCAATGGAGTCTGAAGTCTTTTGTTCAGTCCAAATATACTCTATTTTTTATGAATGCACTAGGGTATGTGTACAATGCATGTGACGTAAATGTCGTCATCAGCAATGTATTGTGTACTGTACACTTGCAGTCTGATTTTTGTAAATTGCACTTATTCCGAACCCTCAGCTTGCGTATGCGGCTTGAACTTCTTTTTTTTTTTTTTTGCACTAGTGACCCTGCCCTTTGTGTGGCAGTCCGAAAAGAAACAGAAGAGACTGAACAATGAAAAACTACTGAAGATGCGGCAATAAACGGCTGTGTTGATGAGCACTTGTGTGAGGGGATTACGGTATCCCTTTAGGTATTAAGGGATACCTGAAGCTCTAGAAATTGTTCGAAGACATTTTTAGCGGTAATAACTTATGAAATGAAATAGTGCAGACAGTGGACAAAAAGCCGCATTTGTCACATGCCAGTATTTGCACAATTAAGTATTCCTTGAAAGGGTATTTATTCAGTTGAACCTATACGCTAAGGGTTTGCATCAAATACTTTGGGCTGTAGACCACGCTTACAACTTTTTTTTTGCCCTAAAATGCTCTGTGTAAACCAGTACTGTATTTTTACAAATATATTGTATAGGAACAGTCTTAAAAAAAAAGTGGCAAATTAATTAAACATTTAAAAATGACTATTTTTATTGTATCTATCTTAAATATGTTAACAAGGCACTCATCACTCACTTTTTGTGAATGTAGTAAGACTCTCAGCTACGTGTTTTGCTTAAAGGTGGGGTAAGCCATTTCTGGTAGCCAATGTTGACATTTGAAATCACCAAAACAAAAACGCCCCTACCCCAAAAGGGTCTCGCCCCTATTTTGATAGCTCCGCCCCACACATACGTACGCAACCCAGGCAACGATTAGTTCTGTGAAACAAAGCAAAACCAATGTTACACCGTGTCTACACCGGACGCCAGTGGCGCGGTGTGACAAAATACTATGGAACTCATTATAATCAGTGATGCTGTCTACACCATAGATATATATCTATGGTTTACACTGGATGCGGCACGACACTACAAATCCCCGACAGAAAACTGCTGCTGCGTTCTATTCATGACGTATTGACACAAATTTCAAATGATTTTCAACGGTCGCTTTGTACTAGACAGACTTACGTGTAGACATGGTGTTTAGGCCTGGGCGATAAAACGGTATCAATATTTATCGACGGTACATCTCCGAAAACTATATAAAATTTTTCA